CGATGGGCGACCTAGTCTCCAACATGGCGATGGCGACGCACGGGGGCCCGACGGCGCGCAGACGGCCGTGTCAGCCTGCTACGCCGGGCCGCTGTTCCACGCGATGGTGGGGCTGGAGCTATTGCTGACGCTGGCGACGGGCGCGCAGTACCCGGCGCCGTTCACGCTCCCGGTGGATGCGGCAGTGTACAAGACGGTCGACCAGGGACATGCGGCTCGACCGGGTGTACAGGGTGGGCCTCATCATCATCTACCTCACTTTCTTAGGCGTTCGAGTCCTCGACAGCCGCGGCCTCTGGTTCGGGTAGCGACGGCAACAAACAGAGGAAGCTGCTCTGCTCCCGTCAATGGCAGCCACTGTGTGCTGATGTACGTAGATGGAGGATGAGAGTTGATAAATCAGATGCTTGTACAGTCGTAGTAGCACTAGCTGGTACTATAGGATTAGCATGTAGGTGATTACCAATGGATTAGCTAGTGGTGTAATTGTTGATTGTGTTGGTTGGCATCAAGATGATTTCCCTGCGGGTTGAAATTGATAAACAACAGGGGGCTAAATGCAAAAAGTGTGGTGCTGACCGGATCAGTCCAGTTGGCTCCACTTGGCTACTCGTGATTGGCCCAGAACCAAATATGCACATCTGTGACAAGTTTTTGGACCAAATAGTTGTCTTTTACAAGTTTTAGGACCAAATCATTACATCCTGGACAAGTTCTAGGACCTTTGGTGCTATTACCTCTTTGAACAACCCATTCTCCCACCCACTTCTACCGGACCACACAAGGCTGCTTCATGGTCATGGGCTTTCAGCCCGACCAACTGTCATGACCCTGAGAGGAGATCAGAGAAACTTTCCTCACGCTAGGGTTTACTTCTCCCTGAGGCACTGTTCGTTTAATCCCCCCACCACAAGGATTGGAGGGGATTGGGGAGGTTTGAGGTGGATTTTGAATTGCAAGGGATTTAATCCCCTCCAATCCCTTCCAAACCTCTCCAAACCCTGTCTAACCGAACAAGGCCTGAGGCGATCTGTCGCCGTCGAGTCTGCTACTTGTGAGCTGCGTTGGAATTTCCTCGAAGAGA